TGACCATTTCCACTCCTTCCATGCGCTAGCACCAGGACTTACCTGACTGCAGTGGGAGAGGGCTAACTGGTACGCTGGTGAAAAAGAAATCCTGATGAAAACCGAAAAGCTCTAGGGTGCTGATAACCTAGCTGAAGCCCTATACGCCTTTCACGTAAAAGTAATGGCTGTATGCTGAGACCTCCTCCTTTGGTGTTCTTGTTTGTATATGACAAAGGCATGGGGCAAAGGCAAAGTCCACTCCCGTGGGAGCAGGCTGCTATGAAATATTTTTTAGCTGGCTTTATCACGATTTTTTTTTTCCTCCCCCCAGGATGGGAAGCTCAGGAATGGCCATGGAGAAAGTTGCGGACTGAATGAATGGCAAACTTATGAGAAGGTGTTAGGCAACCTAAGTATACAATTACAACCAAAAATGTCTTTCACTTGTGGGTCTCAAGACACAATCTGTGAAATCCAGACCTGTATTTTCTCATATACGTAGTGTCTCTACTACACAGAAAAGTTAGGATTCAAAAAAAAAAAAATTGTGGAGTTAAAACAGTGATTGATGCATGTACTTGGCTATCATATATATGTAACGTTATCAAAAGACAGTAGGAGAAATTACTAGTTTATGTATTGTCCTGTAACGTCAATCAACAGAATACATTTATGGCATGTAGGAAAATTTACAGAGAAACAGCGAGCAGGGAATAATGCTGCCACCTACTTGTACCACACAGTACCTCTTAAATTACCAGATTACTTTTTAGTTTTGATAGATTACGTTATGCTAGTTTCACTGCCAGTTGTTCCCAGTTCTTTTTCTTAGCATGCGCTGTTGGGGGATACAAAAATTACTCGGCTTTTCAGAACAAGTGTACAGTGATGATGCACTGCGGGCAGCACAGAGGTACCGCTTTAGCCTGGCAGTAGGAACACTTCTCAAGGAATTTTGAATAGCATAACGATGTATGACTTAGATCCATACAGATAGTTCAGTAAGGGGTTGATATTTACCTTAGTTTAATGTCAATCATAGAATCACAGAATCCTAGGTTGGAAGGGACCTCAAGGATCATCTGGACCAACCTTTCCAGGTAAGAGCACAGTCTAGACAAGACGGCCCAGCACCCTGACCAGCTGAGTCTTAAAAGTGTCCAGTGTGGCAGAGTCAACCACCTCCCTGGGGACATTATTCCAATGGTTGACTGTTCTCATTGTGAAAAATTTCCTTCTCATGTCCAATCAGAATCTCCCCAAGAGCAACTTGTGTCCATTCCCCCTTGTTGTCTCCATGTGACTCCTTGTAAAAAGGGAGTCTCCATCTTCCTTGTAGCTACCCCTTAGGTACTGGTATGTGGTGATGAGATCCCCTCTAAGCCCCCTTTTCTCCAGGCTGAACAAACCCAGTTTTTTCAGCCTGTCCTCACATGGCAGGCTTCCCAGTCCTTTGATCATCTTGGTGGATGGATCATCAATAGAAAATTGAGTTATGTATTTTTTTTTTTTGTAAGATTACAAGGCAATTTGTAATTGTAGAGATTTAATATGAATTGGCAGAAGACCTATCCTCCAAATTCCTAGTTCCACCTTGCTTTCAACTCAGGGTATTTTCCAATACATTTAAGAAAGGTGTAGACAGCCACAGCTGCATGCCATCTCATATCAGTTCAAGTTTATTCCAGTCAGTTCTGATCCAGTGCTATCTTCATTTTCTAACCTTGGCTGACCATTTCCACTCCTTCCATGCGCTAGCACCAGGACTTACCTGACTGCAGTGGGAGAGGGCTAACTGGTACGCTGGTGAAAAAGAAATCCTGATGAAAACCGAAAAGCTCTAGGGTGCTGATAACCTAGCTGAAGCCCTATACGCCTTTCACGTAAAAGTAATGGCTGTATGCTGAGACCTCCTCCTTTGGTGTTCTTGTTTGTATATGACAAAGGCATGGGGCAAAGGCAAAGTCCACTCCCGTGGGAGCAGGCTGCTATGAAATATTTTTTAGCTGGCTTTATCACGATTTTTTTTTTCCTCCCCCCAGGATGGGAAGCTCAGGAATGGCCATGGAGAAAGTTGCGGACTGAATGAATGGCAAACTTATGAGAAGGTGTTAGGCAACCTAAGTATACAATTACAACCAAAAATGTCTTTCACTTGTGGGTCTCAAGACACAATCTGTGAAATCCAGACCTGTATTTTCTCATATACGTAGTGTCTCTACTACACAGAAAAGTTAGGATTCAAAAAAAAAAAAATTGTGGAGTTAAAACAGTGATTGATGCATGTACTTGGCTATCATATATATGTAACGTTATCAAAAGACAGTAGGAGAAATTACTAGTTTATGTATTGTCCTGTAACGTCAATCAACAGAATACATTTATGGCATGTAGGAAAATTTACAGAGAAACAGCGAGCAGGGAATAATGCTGCCACCTACTTGTACCACACAGTACCTCTTAAATTACCAGATTACTTTTTAGTTTTGATAGATTACGTTATGCTAGTTTCACTGCCAGTTGTTCCCAGTTCTTTTTCTTAGCATGCGCTGTTGGGGGATACAAAAATTACTCGGCTTTTCAGAACAAGTGTACAGTGATGATGCACTGCGGGCAGCACAGAGGTACCGCTTTAGAAAAGACAGGGAAAGAAAACCGGCTATTTCTGACTCTTCCTGCATGTCTTGGTTTTTTGCTCTATTAACTGGAGGTTAATGTTGTTTAAATGGGTGTAGGAGTTCTTACTTACAGAATCTCTGCTCTCAGATGGATGCTCCTTCATACAGAGAAATTTAGAGAAGTTATTACGTTAAACCATTTGAAACAAAAGTCCTCTTAGAGCTCAGTCATATGGAGCAAGACACGGTTGAGAGTTGTGAAAGAGACCACTGAGCTACCGGCACTGATGTACATCATACAGTCGACGTAAGCCTATCAGTATCTTCTTTCCGCCGACTGCCATAAATCATGTTTTTCTGTCTGTGTGTGTGGGAGGATGTCACGGCAGTCCTGATTCCCATTTTTTTTTGAAGCTTAGTACTCAATAAAGCCACATCTTCTGCTAAATGGAAATGATTCAGAATAGTTGCATCAAAAATTATGGAGATTTGGCTCATTAAGAATGTCTATGTTGTAATTACTTCCAACTGATTGCATGCCTTTATAGGTCATCATCACAGATTCAGCTGCTGGATTTTCTGAAGGTCCATATAAGACAACACTGGATAAAAAAAAAAAAAAAAAAAAAGCAGAATTTTCCTTCCAGTTGATAGGAAAGATGGGAGTCTTTGGCTGAGCTAGATGAAATCAAAAACTCAGAGGAGCTAATGTAGCAATATTGTTTTAGAGGGAATTGGGGGGATGCTTCATCAGAAGTGGCTGTGAGTGAGAGATAGAACAGGGATAGTTTGGGACCAAACAGACAAATAAAGCTGGCGCTAGGTTACGCCGCTCTCTCAGCATTGCTGTCGCTAAGAATAGCTTGGAAATGAGAACCCAGACATCTCAAAATAGAAGACACAAGAAAATCAAAGATCAGACCAAAGTCACGTTTTGTGAGACCTGCCTTCTAATTTTCCAATTAATAGGTCTAATAGTACTGAAACTGGAAATCCCTGCAGGTCACAGGACTGAAAAGTGATGTGCTCAGAGCGACACAGCGGGTCATCCCACTCTATTACACGCAGCACGCCATCCCACGTAGGCTACAAAGCTGCGTGCCGCTTCTGAGGTCTTCACCACAGTGGCCACATCCAGCTGGAAACCCTGCATTCCTTGGGCTGGAGCAGCTGCTCGTCCTCATAGCTGGCACCGTTGTGTGTGTCAGTACAACACAACCCACCTATCCCTGCTTCCCTCTGTAATTTATTAAAAATACCATGATCAGACTGGATTTTAAGCTCAACCAGGCTCCAGGAGTTGGTCCCCGCCAGGCCCGTGCCCTCGGGGCAGGGCTGAGGCTCCCCCACAGTGCAAAATCGGGGTTTGCAGCGCCTCGGGCAGTATGTCATGGTTCCAAATTCAGAGAGCGCCCAGAAATCCTGCAGAGGTCCGGGCCTAAACCCCTGCCTTTTTCAGC